TTCTTATGGAATAAAAGAAAATATATGAATGAGAGACAGAGTTATAAAGAGAAACGATTCATTCCCTGCTGAAAGAAAGGCCAATAGAAGATAAAAATCTGTAAGGATTTCATATTTATTTGCAGATATTGTGGAAGACTTTGTGAAGGAGATATTCTTGCATGAATATTGTTGTGTCCAGAATCAGAGCTTTGTATTTAAACAGGGACCCACTGAGGCAGGGCCATACAGGTCGGCTTGACCCAACCGAGGGTGGGGGCGAGAGGTGAAAGTGGCTGGCAAGATTTCAGGTTAAAAGAGGGTGCACTCCCAGGGACTTTTCCTCATTTTACAACAGAAGGAGAAAATACATTTGAGATTTGAAGGACTCTGGGCCCAATGGATTGTGGGGCGTGGGGGGGGAAGATATAACATAACACCTCCACGGGAGTTAGGTGGCTAACTCAGGAGCTTTTGAAAATATCACTAGGCGTCTATCTTCATCTTTGAGCACCTCCATATATTTGAAAATCTGGTCCATGATTTTCAACATTATATATAAATGCAAGTATCTTTACTGCGAATGTTTCCTTGAAATTATTTTTTTTTCTAATTGAAAAAGGATACAAGGGAATCCTTTCCCACACAATTTACTAGTGGAACTCCTTGTCACATGATATAATTAGGGCCAATATTTTTTTTAAATTTTTTTTATTACTTTTCTCATTAGATTTGTGTTCATCTACAAACTCAGAAGACAGGCTGTTTCTCCTGTCGTTCACATCCTGTGTGAGGAGTAACTCTATTGGGGGTAATTTGGCTTATTGTGCTTTCACTCTATTACTTTTTATATCTCGTAGCATAACACGTATAATGAAAAATCAGAGGCACATAGAGGGTTATACATTTTACAGGAGGTCCTAGATATATTGAATACATATGTTTACTGTGGCTTTTTGACTTTTTCTTTCGGAGGAGGCAGACATATATTTTATCACCTCGAAGGAATACAGGTAGTTTGTGTGCATGTGTACTTTGAACACAGTTAAGTTCCTTATAATATTCTTTTAAGAGGAGAATTTTTCCTAATTAAGATGCCCACATCCCTCAAAGAACTCAATGGGAACAGAGTCACTGACTGATTGCTAGAGTCACTAATTCATTCCCCTTCCATTGCAAATTGTAAATGACTACACATGGGTAAAAGCCATGGAGAATGAGGTCTAGAATCCCCGCGGTGTTACCAATGTCACGGTAGCCAGAACATCGCTGCACTGTAGAAAAACCGGTTCCCCTTTTTCTATCGGTCCCTGCTTTGATCTGTGTCACTGTGTGTCTCTCCCGGAGCAGTAATAGGTGGCGGTGTCTGCAGCTGTCACCGAGCGGAGCTCCAGGGAGAACTGGTTCTTGGAAGTGTCTTGTGTGATGGTCATTCGACTCTGCAGAGAGCTGGGGTACTCAGTGTACCACCTGCCAGACCTATACCATGTGCACCCCATCCATTCCGGCCGCTTCCCCGCGGGCTGCCGGAACCAGTCCCAGGTAGCTCTGGTGCTAGAAACCGAGTCTCCGGAGATGGTACAAGTGAGTGTCAGGGACTCCCCGGGTTTCGCCGCTCCCAAACCCATTTCCTTCAGCTGCACTTGGGAGAGGACACCTGGAAAGGAAACACAGAAATGAATCCATGAGCCAGGCTCCTATCCCCTGGGAGTGGGGAACATGAGAAAATTAAACACCCTGAGATGGCGACTAAGGGAGTGAGGCACCCAACTGCCACTGAATTGCATTGGAATCCGGGCATCTCATTCCCTTAGGCTGCACTGAACATCTTCTCTTCTGCCATCACTGCAGTAAGGAACCCTCCTGACCCCCAATAGACACGTACCTGAAGGGGCCTCCAGCATGAACAGGAAAATCAGTAGCAGGTTCATCTTAAGTGAAGGTGCAAACTGTCCCCAGGAGCCAGGCCCGGGCAGTACTGTGGGGTGTGAGGGGGAGACTGGAGCTCCTCCAATCCGGGGGTTGTATTTAAAGAGGAACCCTCCAGGCAGGGATTTGCATGGGGGTTTCCCGGAATTAATATAAGAGATGACAGAGTGTGAGCTCTGTCTACACATGGGGATCTCTCCTTGGAACGCGTCCTACCGCCCGAGACAGTGAGTTCAGCTTAGCGAAATGTGAAACCACTTAAGGTATTTGGACGCCCAAACTCAGTTTCAATAAATAGCATTTGGTCATTTAACTCTCTCAAAGGACTTTGAAATTCTCAGTCAAATGTAAGTGCAGGACAGCGCCTTCTTTGGAATGAAGGGATATCTGGAGAAAAGAAATTATACCCCTTCTCCTGTGGTTTTGGATGGGATTTCAAAAGAGCCGATGGGAATTAAGAACCCAAATGTCATCGAAATTCAGTAGCATCTGGGCCTATAACTCGCTCACCCCATCTCTTAAATCCTATTCCGTGTTCGGTAGAGATTGATCATATTAGCAACGCGCTGCATTTACTGTGCAGCCAGAGATACATTTATAGTGAATAAGGGTTTTATTACAATGCATTGAGTGAAATGAGAGACTTTCGGCTGATATTACCTTGCTCTGGGTGACATTAGTTAGTGGGTTTATGTCTGCTGCCCTCAGAAGACAGAACTGTCTGAGAATATCCCTTCTCCCCCTCCGTTCGATATCATATCCCGTGTGTTCTCTGCCAGGTCCCCTTGAGGAAATGACCCAGGCTCATATTCTGGATAATATCTGCCTGGTGAATGTTTATTTTTGACAGTCCTTTGCAAGAAATTATTTTCGAGCATAAATTACATTTCTGATCCTTGGCGCCACTTGAGTTACTGTCACTTCTCATTGTTACTTTGTTCTAACACCAGCCACAGAATAATCCTTCTCGATATTTACACTGCTGTAATTCTGAGCAATTAAGAGGTCCTTGTTGCTCTTCTTCGCTTTCCTTGTAAAGTTTTCCCTTGTTCATTTTCTTGCTGTTAATACAGAATCCAACCATGAACTAAGTATTTTATCAAACGCATAATATTACACATTCGAAGACACGTTCATTCTGTCTCTCTCTCTCTCTCTCTCTCGCTCTCTCCCTCCACATACGTCCCATCTATGTATCAATCGATCATTCTTGCATTAGTCTGGCTTTCCTTCTTTTATATAATAACATTCATACTTTATAAACTGGGTGCAAAGGCAGGCGTTTCTGATCTGAAGGAGATTTTACAGTTACTGTGGAGTTTTGCCCAGTTATATTACAGAAGAAAGGAATATGCTTGCCCTGTGCACAAGGGATATGCTTGAGGTGAAGTTCCCATGCTATATTTGCAATATATTTTTAGTCAGGTTTGTACATGAAAAAGATTTCCCACTGTATAAAATCCCGGGGGCCCTAATTCTGTCCCCTCTCAGATCTTTTCGCTATGCCAGTGTAGACAGCTATATCATGCCAATCTGAAGTGACTGAAGGGTCAATGAGATAGAGAAGGAGAATTCCAGTTCCCCCCAAAGATCTGGAGCGTTAGTAGCTCTCCGCGTGCACTGTGAAAACCCGCTTACTCTTTTTGTATCAGCCCCTGCTGCACTGCGTCACTGTGCACCCCGGTGTGTGCGTGTGTATCCCCCGGGCACAGTAATAGGTGGCGGTGTCCGCAGCTGTCAGCGCGCGCAGCTGCAGGGAGAACTGGCTTTTGGAAGCCTCCTGGCTGATGGTCAGTCGGATCTGCAGAGCCCCAGCGTAGTTCGTGGGCCAGCTGCCGGCTGAATGCCAGATGTTCCCCATCAACGCCTGCCCTCCCCCCGCCAGATGGCGGATCCAGTTCCAACTCGATCCGGCAGTAGACAGCGAGCTCCCAGAGAGGGTGCAGGTGAGTGTGAGGGGCTCCCAGGACTTCACCGCTCCAGGACCTGACTGCTGCAGCTGCCCTTGGGCGAGGACACCTGGAAGGGAAAACACACAGATCTGTCAGCCAGGCTTCTGTCCCCTGGCAGAGGAGAACGCATGGCAATAAAACACCTGAAGAGTAAGCCTAAGGGATTTTGGCACCCAGCTGTTGCTGAAATCCATTGGGATCTCTGTGCTTCATTCCCATAAGCTACTTTTAAAGCCTCCACCTCTAGAATGGTCCCAGCAGTGAAATCTTGTTCAGGGTTTGGCCGATGGTGTATTCCCTCGCCTTTACTGTATGGTGCACCTTATGTGTATATATTCCCTGATTGTTACCCCTGTTTGTAGAGATGAATCCAAATCCTGTATTGCTTCATTCTGCTGCACAGACCCTAAGGAAACAGAATTAAATTCTGCCTGGCCAGTAGAAGCGGTTGCCTGGGGATAGCTGAGAAAATCTCACTTAAACCAGAGCAATCAGAGGGATCAATATTTAGTTCTCCTGCCTCTTTCCTTCCCTAAGCAACTCCCAGCAGGGTCAGCCTATAGATTCCTGGTTCACCTTCTTTGTACATTTTCCTTCCACTGGTTTGCTTGGCAATAATATAGCAGCATAAAGTGCAATATGCAATTTATATCACAAATACAATCATCTATCTATCTATCTATCTATCTATCTATCTATCTATCTATCTATTAAGCAGTGTCCAAGCACCTCGCAATCTGTAATGCATTTATACTCTCAATTCCCCTGTGAAGTGCCCTTATCCCCATTTGGCCTATGGGGAACTGAGGCACAAGGAGAATAAGCATGTTGCCCATGGTGACTCAGGAAGGTTGTGGTGGTGGATGGAATTGACAGTCGGAGTCCTACTGCCTCTCAGAGTCATGGTGTTTGCATTGTCCGTCTTGTATCTCTCTCTTTCTAGCTCCTTTGTTTCTTATATTGTGGTATCTCTACTACTTCCAAAATTATAACGTGGACACATAAACACCCCAAATAGATAAATAGATGCATACATAGATATTTGATGTTGCACCCCATAATACTTTATAGAAATATGCTTATGAAAGTAAATACGACATAACTGGAACATGTTTTATGCTAGAAATGCCATGTAACATATCTGTGCAAAAACTATGTTCTTCTGCATGTATTCATCCTATATGTATGAATGTATCATTGTTGTATCTGAAACTAGAAATATGAAATATAACTCTGAGGTCCTATTGTAATTATGCAAAGTGTGGGCCATTAATGGTGGCTTGAAATCTTGATGGCTCCCATTAACCAGGATAATTGGTTGTAAATGGCTCTGTTTACTTGTAAGTCTTCCTGTATACCTGTGTGCTGGCAAGTGGGTAATGAAGTCTTACAGTGACATGTGATCATGTCACCTGAACTGGAATCCATCTTTAACCTGTGCTTTTCCATTTAGAAGGAGGGTGGGAACCCAGAGAGGGACAAAGGATTCCTGCCTTGTGCAAAAGATATATAAGGGGGTGGAACGGAATAAAGGGGGCTGCAGTCATGAAAAATCCTCCAGCTACCACCTGATCTGGAACAAGAACTGTACCGGGGAAAAGATTGGACCCAGACTAGAAGGAGGCTAGTCTGTCAAAAAAGCTTATTGGAACATCTCTGAGTGTGACATTTACCTGCATTGTTTCCTACTGTATTGGGCTTAGACTTGCATGTTTTATTTATTTTGTTCGGTAATTTAATTTGTTCTGTCTGTTATTACTTGGAACCACTTAAATCCTACTTTTTGTATTTAATAAAATCACTTTTTACTTATTAATTAACCCAGAGTATGTATTAATACCTGGGGAACAGCTGTGCATATTTCTATCAGTGTTATATAGGGAGAACAATTTATAAGCTTTATACAGGGTAAAACAGATTTATTTAGGGTTTGAACCCCATTGGGAGCTGGGTATCGAAGTGCTGGAGACAGGAGCACTTCTTAAGCTGTTTTCAGTTAAGCCTGCAGCTGTCGGGGGCGTGGTTCAGACTTAAATCTGTGTTTGCAGCAGGCAAGCGTGTCTGGCTCAATCAAGGCAAGGTACTAAAGTCCCAAGCTGCCAGGGAAAACGGGCTCAGAGGTAGTCCCAGCACATCTGGTGGCAGTCCCAAGAGGGTTTCTGTGACCCAACCTGTCACTATATATATATAAACTTAATTGCTCTCTCGCTCTCTCTCTCTCTCACACACACACACACAAACACCACTGTTATCTGAACATCTTCAAAAATCATAAGACCTGACAATTTTGAAAGGACTCTAAGGGATGACAGCTGCCCAACCCCCCTCCGAATGAATTTCTGTCCGGTTCTGGTGCCTAATTCCTTTAAGTCCCATTTAACATCCTGGCCAACGTGTATCCTATTCCGAAGTTTCTAAACTTCTATCCCTAAGAGTCCGTTTTTTAAAGCTATGAAGGCAACCGGTGCGATTTTCAAAAGCACCTCGGTGCCCAACGCCCATCGCAATCACAGAGTTTTAGGCTTCTAGGGGCTTTTGAAAATTCTCTTCGGCACCTTAAATCCCTTTGAGAATTTAGCTCCTCAGTTGCTGTTACAATGCAACTTGGGGTTTTCTCAAATCATTGCAGACTGACATCAGTTTTTCAAAATCAGTCCCCTGTGGTCTCTTTCCCTATTTCTGTTTCCAGTCCAGCATGTAAGGATTGGATTTGTTTGTCTGTTTGTCTGCAAAGCCTTTGGAAGACCTGTAAGATTGAATTTTGCTGGACAAGAGCTTTTGGCAATATTCCCACCAGCGGGTTGAAGCATGTCACTAAAGCTCATTATCCTCCTCTTCATGACATCACCTTGGTTCCCTGGTGTTGGAGGGGAGAGTTGGCTGGAAACTGCACAGACACAGGGGGCTGCGGATTATCTCTCTGGGTGCAGCCTTGGGAGAGTAAGTGGCAGATTTAAACAGCAGACTTTCACCTCCATTTCCATATTCCCCTCCTTATAAGAGATACAAACTCCTTTCCTTAATGATCTGAAATTGCTTTAATGGGGTCT